AAAAAGACTTGAGACTGTAAAGGTGCTTCAGCGAAATATTTAGTTAAATATTTAGAATACTTATGCAATGTACTTATTTCAGTTTTTTTTTATTTTTAATAAATTTACGAAGTTGTGACAGTTCTGTTTTTGCTTTGTCAGTATGGTGTATGGAGTGTAGATTGATGTGGAAAAAAGTTATTTAAATCAGTTTAACATAAGGCAGCAACATAACAAAATGTGAAAAAATTAATTGGGTATGAATACTTTCGCAAGGCACTGTATATGAGCATACGATGTGCAACAAACCTCTAAGCTGCCAGTTAGGAATTCTTTACATGATATTTAGCGGTTGCCACTAGGTGGTAAATCATTAGTTTGTCTCATCGGGGTGGATATCGCCAGAGGGGACGGCAAAACCTCTTGAAGCTTCTGGAAACTTCTGTCTCCAGAAAATCTGTCTTGCCAGGCCTACAGCTAACTTTGATAAGGGGCCAGCAAAAACATGACAACCCCCAATATTTCATGAGTGGTGGGAGGGAAATAAAAGCGCTTGCAGTGAGCTCAGCAGATCTGACACATTCTGGTCTGACTAAGGCCATAGAGGGGAACATATGAGGTAGCACTTCAAATCTGTGGGAAAGTTACACAGATGGTATGCTGAAACAATTTGTGGTGAAGGACCTCAACCAGAATTGGGGTTAGAGTGGATATACAATGGTATGTGTGTGTGCTTGTGAAAACAATGTGATCTTATCAGTATTAGTAACGTGCTGTTTTAGCACAAATCCTTTTTTGTACGCTTGAATAGACGCTGAAATGTACAGTCCAAAAGACCAACATCCAAACCAAAGACTGGACTGAAAAATTTTGAAAAAATTAAATAAAAAGTGTACACTTAGTTAGGGCTGGGTATCGAGTTCGATACTTTTTAGGCACCGACCGAATTGCCTCGATACCATCGAGTATCGAAAAACGTCTCATCGTTCGGTACCAAATTTCGATACCTAAGGGGTTAATCTCATCAGCGTCAGTGAGCCAATAAGCTTGTATAAACATCAACAAGCTGAAAAATAAAACCAAAGTTTTTTTGTTAGATAATGTAATCTTGTTAAAATTGATTTCATAAAATTGGTATCGAAAAAAGTATCGTTCAGGAACCGGTATCGAAGTCAAGGTATCGGTATCGGTATCGAAAATTTTTGAACGATACCCAGCCCTACACTTAGTGTACAAATTCCTATGAATACTAATGAGATCATCTTGGCAAAAACCAGACAGTCAAAGTTGTTACATACAAATAATTTTAACCTCTGTAGAGTTCCCTGGGACTTCCTGTGGAGTCATATGATCGGTTTGGCAGACATGCTCTGACAGGCTCTTGATGGCATCCTGACAAGCCCTACTGGTGCAGCCAAGAAGCAAAGAGTGAAAGTAAACTTTTCCTCTCACTCAGCGCGGATTTACTATGAGCATATCATACATACAGTCCAACATTCTGTCAATACTCATGATTAAAAAGAGTCTAATAGGCTAGGCCATTGTGCAGTGACTGTAATTACTACAACAAAATAAATAAATTACTAAAAATATATAAATAAATAATACAGTGCAAAAATGGGGTTCCAAACGTAAAAATACCACATTTTTTCATTAGAGAAAATTACTTAAAATGATAATAGACAAATATTTCAAGAAAGTTATAATTATATTTAATGTTATACTTAGTCAATTAATATCCATAGTGAATTGTTTTTATATTGTACTGCTGTTTCTGATTCAATTGTGCCATTCACTATTTTTCATGAGATGAGCAGTTCATTCCTCCATTAAAGACATAGCATAATCATTTTCTATTTTCAAATTTATTTATTTTTTGGTAATGGCCATGAAGAAATTCATTGGAGAAAAATATTTCCAAAGCTGTTGTGCATTATACAACTCTGTGAAACAGTGAAAACCATCTGTGAATCCATGAGGTACAGGATATGATTAATCATAATGGTAAAACTATGAAATACAAACTTCTGGTTGGCATGTTATGTCACATTACGTCACTGAAGTCTGAATTTATAGTGGTTGGAATAGTTCTCCTTCCTTCTATCTTCAAATTCAGTGGCATCTTCTCACAGGAGGTCAGACTCTGGTGCAGTACATGGAATGTGACTTTGACGAGAAAATTAATAAAAGTATATTGAGAGGGAGCCATGAGTGTGGCCCCCTAGGGTTACAGGCAGGGTAAGCAGCCCCAGGGTGCACAGCTGTGCAGGTACATTCACAAGAATAGTCCTGCTGTGGTGGGGGTTGAATTCCTCTGACTACCATTCACCTTTCTGAAACCCCAGTGCTGTCTGAACCACACCTGACAGCAGTGTTCAGAAAACTGCATCTATGGTTACCAGGAACCTCTTGGTAGTTTTGAGCAGGATTTTGTTGACCACAACATCAACAGGAATAAGGGTTTTCAAACAAAAAAAAGTCTAAGACGTGTCCAAGGAAACTTTCAGACAAAAACAACAAAACCGGCCCAAAATGTTGTTATTAAAAATTATATTCTGTTAAATATATTCTGTTACACACACACACACACACACACACACACACACGCACGCACGCACGCACGCACGCATACACACACACACACACAATTCTGCTTTCTAAAAAACTGGTGCATGATCATGAGATTAACTGTTTTTTAACTGTTAATTGTTAATTTTGCTAATTAAATGACCCTAATTTTTTCAGCAAATTTGTATTTTTACAATAATAATTTAAAAGTTTATTTTTATTTTTTTTACAATAATTTAGAACAATAATTCCATTTTAATGTAATAATGATTTCATTTTGCATGATTATGTAACAACAATAATAATATTAGAGACAATTTTGCAAAAAAAAAATTTCTGTATAATATCAATATATTTCACACAAATTACCTTTAATAACACCTGTATTAAAGAGTGTTGAAAAGCAAGTCACTGCAAATTCACACCACAAAATATATTAATCATGCAGATTTTTGGGGCCTCAGTCATTTCTTAATGTCCCACTTGCAACATATGAAACCACAGTGAGATACCTGAGGTCTGGGTGACAATGACTAATATACACACCATCCAACGATTACTCCACTCCCTTTTCCCTTCCTTTCATCCGTCCTCTTGTCCATTCACACCTCCTTCCTTTTCTTTTCTCTCCTCTCTTTCTACCGCCTTCTTGCTCTCGTTCCAGACATGTCTGGTCTGAGGACGGCTGGAGGAAAAGATACCTTTCCTTCCCCTGGCGGATCTTTCTTTATCTCACCATCTTAATTTCCTCCATCCAAACATCAGCTGTCTTACAGTGCAAAAATATACAAATATGTCTCTCCAAAAAAATGGAACCGAATGAAGAATACAACCACAGAGCGATCAGTTCTGACCCATAATGCATCTGACTTACAAGTCTATTCTTTGGGGCATTCCTTCTAATGATGTAAGGATGCAGTGACTGGTTATGAACTTCAGCCAGAAGAAATCAACCACAAACAAACCCACACATACATGTAATTCAGTTGTTTATTTATCAATGTTCGGCAGATGATTTGAAGAAGTAATTTGACCATTTAAGATTAGCGGGATCAAGACAATGCCATCTTTTGTTGGCTGTGTGGATGTGTGTGAACAGTAGGCTCTTTGTTTACTGTGCTGATAGTTATTGGAGGGGAGTGTGAGGGAAATGGATGTCCGAGTCTATCATACCATTTCTGCTACATCACTTTCAAAGGAGCCACTGAGACAAATAGGAAGGAATGTACATATTCTTTCTTGGATGTTGAATCTGTATTAAGTGAATGCAACAAAATGTTAAATTTTCTATCACTTAAAATGTAGTAGATACTTATACAAAGCATTAGATAACTAGACGCCATGACGCTAGAGCATTACAGGTGGTTGCCAAGGTGTAGCTATGTGGTTGCTATGGTGTTCTGTGTGGTATTTGTCATGTTGTTCTGCAGTTGCTATGATATTTTTACCTTTCATAAAAATGCATGTCTTAAAAACTATGACATCTAAATTAACACTGTAAAGCCTCTGTAAAACATAAATATTAGTCAGAAGAATACTTTTTTTTTTTTTTAAATGGAGCAGTTTGGGTGAACTATCCCTTTAAGCCCATGTATAGTTCTTTAAAGGTTCTCTCTCTTAACTCTCTCTTAGTTTAGTTGGGTAAAGGATTAAAAAACGTAATTAAAATACAGTGTATTTCCTGAAGATAATGTGGTTCTCAACCTTTTTGCCTCCAAGGCCCCCCTATAAGGAAATATTCCAGGGCCCCCACACAAGACTTTTTGACCTCAGAAAAGCATAAAAGTGATTCAAAACAGCTTTTGCCATTGTAGTAAATTCCCATTCACAGCAAAAATATGAGAGTGGAGTAACATACCTAAAATCTAAGGAGAAGAACGGGGTTCCTATTATGGTTCTATATAGCACCATTTGACAAAGGAGCTTGTATAGCGTCTTTTAAAGATAAGTGAGATATGGATATATTTATATTTAAAGATATAGCACTTAAAGTGGTTCCCCTGTGATTATGAGCCAATTAACCACTTTTAGTGCTATTAAGCATCATTTTTTTTTGTAGAAGTGTAGAAATCCATGCATTAAATATGATACGGTGGGCTTTAAATTTTTTTTTTAAATGGAGCAGTTTGGTGAACCATTTGTTGAAACTCTAAGAAAATGTTTCCATGTGTTTTGAAATAATAATGACTATATAAAATTTCTTTTAAAATTTACTTTATAAAAATATTTTAGATTTCACCAAAAAAATAAAATAAATGTACCTCAACCGGAAGGTGGACCTTTTTAGAATTGTACTAGCAGTTTTGAATAAGTTGATAATTTATGGATCTTACACACACAAAAAAATAGGTTCTTCAGCGGTTCTTTGGGGTCATACAAAGAACCCGTTAAAGGGTTAGATCACCCAAAAATGAAAATTCTGTCGTTAATTACTCACCCTCATATTGTTCTAAACCCGTAAGACCTCCGTTCATCTTCGAAACACAAATTAAGATATTTTTGATGAATTCTGAGAGCTCTCTGACCCTCCCATAGACAGCAATGTAATTACCACGATCAAGGTCCAGAAATGTAGCAAGGAGATCGGTAAAATAATCCATGTGACATCAGGGGTTCAACCGTAATTTTACGAAGCTACGAGAATACTTTTTGTACACAAAGAAAACAAAAATAACGACTTTATTCAACAATTCGTCTACTCCGCGTCACCCTGGTGCCATTTTGGAGAATATCCAAGTGATTCAAAACAGCTTTTGCCATTGTAGTAAATTCCCATTCACAGCAAAAATATGAGAGTGGAGTAACATACCTAAAATCTAAGGAGAAGAACGGGGTTCCTATTATGGTTCTATATAGCACCATTTGACAAAGGAGCTTGTATAGCGTCTTTTAAAGATAAGTGAGATATGGATATATTTATATTTAAAGATATAGCACTTAAAGTGGTTCCCCTGTGATTATGAGCCAATTAACCACTTTTAGTGCTATTAAGCATCATTTTTTTTTGTAGAAGTGTAGAAATCCATGCATTAAATATGATACGGTGGGCTTTAAATGAAAAATAATCAAAATTGATTTAAGTGCTAATTGTGTGAAAAAGACCATCCCTCAGTACTAAGTTTCTAATAAAAGAGAAGTCATTAACAGCATGTTTGAGATAAAATATGAGACATATTATATTTGAAGAAAACTAAGAAAAATCAAGGTAAATATACCTAGAATATGATTGTAAAAATGTGATTTTATTGAGTGTATTTGAGATACATAAAATGGTATTTTACTTCAAACATTTGCAATTAAAAAAAAAAAAAATCTATAATTGGAGATGTGATGAAAATGATAATGGCTTACAGAAAAAAAAACCATGAGAATAATTACGAAATTCTCATTTGGTACATGCATATACACTAAATTGTTAGCAGAAATCAAATAAACTAGTGAGTGTGTAAAGTAAGTTTAAAAGAGTTTACTTTCTAGCTTACTTGCCCATATACAAAAAAAGATATACATCAAGCATGCAGACAGGAATTACTGTGAGATCTTTTGTTTCTTTAAACCTTTTCTGTTTTCTGACTTAAAGCATAAGTCAACTGCTGGTCAAAAGGAAAAGCCTCAAAGTCAGAAGAAAGTTCTTGTGTTGACAGCTGTATTCAAACGCCAGGCAACAAATCTGACTGAGATTTAAATATTAATCCCAAAGCAATTAGGACAATTTGGAGAAATCACATAGCGGACATAATGACACCAATTCTCTTATTAGTTTAATTACTACTGAGTTTTGTTCAAGACAGGAAGAACAATTAAATGATATGACAGATATGAAAGAATGCTAGTAAAGGGGCTTGGAATGGAAAGAATGAAGCGGAGTGCTTATATTAAGTATTTGTAGGTATTTGTAGGTTTATTGCATTCATGACAGAGAGAGAAAAAAGAATGAGAGAGTGAAATTAAATGGAGTTATTGTACGACAGCACTGTGAAATCTTATGGAAAATACATTCTTGCTTGAATTCTCCTGACTTTTGTTCCAACGTGCATTTAAAATGATAGCACAGACACAACAGATCTAGGTTTACTATGACCATGGAAAACCCCAAATTAGCACGCACTGTCCCAGACTGAGGAATTAGGATGACTTAAGACACATAACAAGCCTCTTTCAAAATGCTGCCATCCTAGAGCTCACATGTTCCTGCTAGAAATGCTGTCTGCTTTGGCAATCAAAACTAACATTCATCTCCAGACAAAACATCCAGCAATCGCTGCCGATCTGTCACATTACTGTAGTCCTAATGGCATCCCCGAGTGGCCTAGCAGAGCTGGGCTAAAACTCACCTCTTTCAGCGCCACTGGACATGTTCCAACTGGAGGCGGCCACCACATTTGTGTCTGAAGGAATCTCTGCCCCTGTTGATACAAAGCCAGAACAGAAAGTCAAAGAGAGGCACATTTCAGACTGTGGCGTTATCATGGTACAGAGAATGTAATATATGGCTATACCAAGGTACTTTAAAACATATACATGTATCATTGTATTTAAATTCATACAGCATATTTAAAATAAATAGGCTACTATGGTAATACCATATGTAAGAATAAAAACATATACAGGTTCAGGTCTGGTGAGTTTGCTGGCCAGTCAAGCACACCAACACCATGGTCATTTAACCAACTTTTGGTGCTTTTGGCAGTGTGGGCAGGTGCCAAATCCTGCTGGAAAATGAAATCAGCATCTTCAAAAAGCTGGTCAGCAGAAGGAAGCATGAAATGCTCCAAAATTTCTTGGTAAACGGGCGCAGTGACGTTGGTTTTCAAAAAACAAAATGGACCAACACCAGCAGATGACAATAGGGCCTTTCGCACCACTTTAGTTCCAGAACTAAATGTACAGTACTAAAGTACTGGGATCCGTTCCAAGTTATCACAGACCACAAGAACTTGGAGTACATCAAAAGTGCCAAACGTCTGAATCCTCGCCAAGCTCGATGGTCCCTGTTTTTTACACGCTTCCAGTTCACAGTTACATACAGACCCGGAAGTAAGAACAGTAAAGCAGATGCTCTGTCAAGACGCCATGACTCTCTTGTCATTCCTGGTCCACCTGATACTATACTGCCCCCAACCGTCATCATCGCACCAGTTACTTGTGACATCATGGAGGAAATTCAACGAGCCCATCAGCAAGAACCACCACCAGCCAACTGCCCCCCAACCAAGCATTACATACCCCATGCTCTTTGCCACAGAGTCATGCAGTGGGTTCACACAACTCTATGTTCAGGTCATCCAGGGATCACGCGCACAATCAACCTGCTACAGAATTCTTTCTGGTGGCCTGCACTGTCCCACCAAAGTTTAACCAAAGACTTAAACTACTTCAGTCTGTGTGCATTGAATTTATTTAATACACGAGTTTCACAATTTGAGTTGAATTACTGAAATAAATGAACTTTTCCACGACATTCTAATTTATTGAGATGCACCTGTATAACCTATATGGTTGCTAAGGTGTTCTGAGTGGTATTTATTGTATTGTTCTGCAGTTGCAATGATATTTTTACATTTCAAAAAATACATATCATGAAAACTAATTTCTAAATCAACCCTGTAAAGCCCTCGCATATAAAATATTAAGTCTGAAAATGTAATTATTTTGTAATGAAGCAGTTTATTGAACAGGTAGCCATGTAATAAATGAGATAATGTACAGTGAGCCAATCATTATTGCAAAATAAACCTCTTCAGGATGATATAAGACCAGTCTGCCTTGCATAGGGGCCCTGTTCACACTGCTTATTTGGTCAAAATGTACATAATCCCCTATTTAATTTAGATTTTAAGACATGAAGTAGAGTTTTTAAGGTTAACTGACAAAATGTTTTACATTTACATTATGGATAGTAATCTGATAGTATCTATGGATAGATGCTGATTCTAACTTTTTTTTTTTAAAATAAGTTTTCAGTTCAGTATTTTGGTCTCAATTCACTTTTGTGAAAATTATAAAACATACAGCAAGAATGTGAAATTAAAGAGACAGTCATGTTGCTATTAGCGCTATGTGTGTGTTCAGGAGCGTGCAGGTAAAGCTGCCTCTAATATATGAAGATTACAGGCTTGTTACTGTACAAAGGACATTTTATTATAGTGTAGCAGCACAATATGGGCAAGTGTTGACAGGTTCAGAGTTAGTGATACTCATCTTACAATGGCCCCCTTTGAGTCAGACCAGGGATATTTTCATCCTTTTACTACAGAACACAATAAACAATGGACTGGGGCAGTACAGGAGTCCAAAAAGAGGTGCAAGCCTGCAAGGTGCTCCATGAATGTACAAAATGAGTTTATATATGCTTAGCCAGAGATGGTATAAAAAGGAGAAAGACTAAATTAATGATTGAAAAATTAATGGGAGAAATCCCAACACATGACATTGTAGCTGTACGTTTAGACATTTACAATCACCTTACTGCTAAAGACATGACCTGATCTAGTCTTACTCCGTCTAGAGCGTATAAACCTGACTAGTCTATGCAGATTCATGTGATTTTAGCTAAAGACTTTGATCAGCTGGTTTAGGTCTGTTTAATTAGGGTTGGACCTAAACTGTACCCTCCAGGAGCAGGTCTGAACTGCCCGATCTAAATATATGATAGCAATTTAGTCAGATTTTGTAATGTATGTCAATTATTTGACACATTACTGTAAAAGTTTAGCCAACAGTTTTGCTTTTCAACTTTATGTTTTAATAACTTTTGCTGTACTTTAAAGAAGTACACTTATTTTGACTAACATACAGTCAACAAAAATAAGTGTACTTCTTTAAAATACAGCAAAAGATTATTAAAACATAATGATCTAAAATTTACTTTAAAGTGTGCTAAGAGCCAGTCAAAAAAGTGCACTCTCTTTAAGTGGCCTTTTATTTCATTAATATAAAATTATCAGGAGGTTTTAAAAAAATGCACTTGTAAGATTAAGAGTATTTTTTAAAGCAATACGATTAGGTGCACTTCTTTTTTCACAAGTGTACTAAATATCTGTCAATTACCAATATGGCTGCAAAGTGAAATGACTTGCTGTAATAAACAATGTGATTAGTTTTTCAATGATGGCTGCTGTGTAAACTGACTGACTTGCTTTAAAAAGCCATTTGGTATGACTGATAGCATAATCTCAAGCAAACACTAAAACAGTGCACACTTTTTGTGGACATCTCGCTCTACCTAGTTCCATGAATGCCAAAAACAGAAAGGTGTGCTCCCACCCGGGGATGATCATTCAGAAATATTACACAAATAAAAATATATTCTGCTCTTTTACAGCCTCACTGGTCTCTCCACAATGCCTTTTCCAAAAAGTAGGCTTACTTGGGAAAGGAAATCCCAGAATGCATAGTGACATGATTTGTTTTTTCAACAAAACCCCAAAAATTAAATTTTAAACTAAATTAATTACATCTATATAAATAAACGTACATTTCATATAATACAAAACATAGCAATAATCAGTATAATTAAAAAAAATGTTCAGCATACTTTTAAAAATAATTATGATCTGCATAATTAAAAACATATTACTTTACCTAATATTTGCATGTTCTATTTATTTTTATGCTTATTAGTGTATAACGCGGTTAGATAAACAACATACTAATGCCAAACTTTGTCTGCTAAAGTTGCTTCCTGTGTAGAGCGTTCCTAATCATTCAATTATGATTTTCCAGATACGATGCTGTCTTAGAAGGCAGCTGCACATGTAGACAGCGAAGAAGCTCCCTAGGTTTTATTTTAACAGAGCTCTAGTGGTGGTGTGAAATAAATACACAAGTCTCACAGCTAGAGAGTGAAAGCGTGGAGAAAGAGATAGACAAGCGTCAAAGTGTGAACACAGAGGTGTTATTACGTTAACTGGCTGTTAATTTAATGTTAAATATGCCTGGTGTTAGAAAACATGCCACTTTAATGAGCTGCTGATATACACACACACCTGTTAGTGCCAATGAACTGTCTTGTGTGACAGTGCGCGCGCGCGCACGCACGCACACACACACACACACACACACACACACACCCCACCACATGCTACCGTTGCTGGGGTAAAGACCAGCAGCTGCAGGGGCAGGTGGTTTAATGCCCCTTTCACGATGACATTGACTGCAAATGCAAATTACACTCATTAGTGATGTAACTATGACAGCTCACTTCATCTGCTCATTACATTATGACCATTACTCATTATGGCATGACCTGTCACTTTCATCTGAGTCAAGTGTGGCCCCAAATTAGGATCATCTAAATATATTTTACAAGTGTCACATTACTGTAACATTTTATGGTATAATAATCACTTTTAACATGACAAACACTGTCACCACACACACACACACACACACACACACTCCTAAAGCCACTTTTAGTAATGTCTTTTCAATTAATTACTCATCTGCCACAATGACGCATTTAAATTATATTAAACTGGGGCAATTTTTTCAGCAAATATTTACATATGCAATTATATTGTGATTTATGTGATTAGCTAATCAGTATATCCATTCAATTAATCTGGACTTTTTTTTTTCCCGAATGACAGCCCTACTTATGATACATTTCAACTAGTGCGACACAGGTCAACTGAATATATCAAAACAGATGAAATGCAGTTTTACTGCAGTTAGTTCCCATCTGCAAGCTATCCATCATTAGCTAATCATGAAATATTAGGCAAATTGCAGTGTAATTTGGAGATTACCTCTCTAATGTTGCCAAACAACAAAGGAAGCTTCTATTGGGAACATTTGTTAATTATGACCTTAAAGGAAAGCAGTACACCTGAAAAATCATGCTAGAAGGCACAGGAAAGTCTCTGGTACAGCATTCACAATAAATATGCATCTGAAAGCACATAATGGTTGTAGGTTTCAGTCTGGTTTGTGCGTTATGTTCTTACTCTTCACTTATTGCACAAATATAATATAAACACAGATGAAGATCTTGATTATCCCTATTCTTCACTATTTTACATATATAAGACTATTCTTAAAATATGCAAAAGAGAAATTAAATAAAAGGCAAAAAAGTTACATGAATGTACATTTTACTATATCAGCACAGATAAAAAAATCTTGCTTTTATCCAAGAATGCTCACAAGGAGAGATTTATTTTATTTTCATATTCAGAGCGGGGACCCAACCACGTTATACTATAGTCATGTTATACTATAATTACTCATCATATTTTCTGTCATTATGTTTTTGAAGAATGCAATAAACTGAGATGTATCCCAAGTACTGTATCCCATAAAATACCATAAAATAGTGGCAAATTATTATCAGACAGACAGACAGACAGACAGACAGACAAATAGACAGATATATAGATATATAGATAGATAGATAGATAGACAG